TTTTTTGGACACATTATTTGGCTGGAGAACTGCTTTGCAAAATCAAGAGAAGTGGGAATTTCAAAGAATGGCTGCATTGCATGTATTGCTTCTGAAAGCGTGAATTCAGTGAAATTCAGGTGTGAATGTATTTAGATCTTACTTGCGGTATCTTGTAGGTAGACAGGATGGGTGTCATGTGAAGACAGACATTAGAGTTAGGTCCCCCAATGACTGCTATTGGAGTGCTCTCAGCATCACATTTATAGTTCGGGATGGCCTTGGCCCTTCTTGAGAGAAGCTCTATTGAGGCTTCATAGGTCCAGCTTGCACTGAAATGGCTGTTATAAATGTGGAAGCCCAGGGTGACGTTGGGCAAGATCTGGGGAGTTTCATTGATCTCCTTTACAGCAAATGCCAAGGCCAGGATGTGCTGGTAGAGGTGAGTCAGCACCCTGTATTGAGAGTTAGATGCTGCATCAGGGTTCATCTGCTTCAGATCGTAACATTGATTACTTTTCAGTTCAGCATCCAGTTCAGATATTGTACAAAAACAGGTTGTAATCTAACATTTCACAGGCGTGTAAAAGTAAACTGGCTCATGAATCTATGATGTCTCTTAAAACCATCTCAACTTCCAGGACTTCTTAGAGAGTCTCTTAGTATATCTATAGAAGACATAATTCAATAAGGTGTTTTTATTTATTCTGGCCTCTAGGGAATCTGGATGAGGTGTTTTGTTTGTTTAATATCTGCTGGTCAAAAGTTACTTGTAGTCTGCATGTTCTTCATTCACACAGAATACACAGCCTAATAAGCAAATACCAATGTAGCATTTTTGTTTGGGTTTTTCTAAGAATGGGTTAAAAATTATGTAGGCTCACAGCAGCCACTATGGAGAAATTATCTTCATGCTCTAGTTTTAAGTATACCCTGTGGGTGTGTTTACTTTCTAATGTAAAATATGTTTCAAGCCTGTTTTGATGCCATGTGGATGTCTGTGCGCAAGACTCGACATCTGTATAAGCATTTGTTCTGGAAGCCAATATTTATCCTTGGTAAATGTTTAAAAAATTAAATAAAGCTTGTCATAGAAAAATGGTATTTGAAATGGGTAAATCAAAATATGAATTTAAATTCTTCGACTGACCTGTATAGACTAATGTGTGACCAAGCCAGCATTGCTATGAGTAGGAAAATCACTCCCTGTCTATTCTTCAAATGATTATTATCCCCAGCAGTGAACGTGCTTTCTTAATCAACTGCTTAGGCTTTAGTAAAGGGGGAAGGCTAAAAAATAATAATGGTTGAACTTGGCCAATGGTTTAGCAGTTTTGACTGCTGTGTTCTGTGAAATACAGTAAATCTTGCAAGATAAAATCTGATTTATTCCTTCACAAATTTGAGTAAGCAATGCCAATTAGTCAGGGTATACCTTCATTTCACAGCAAATAAATGAATTTTGCAATGTTTCTCACTGCATTAACAACGAAGATATAGGACATGAAAATTAAAAAAAAATACTAACTTCTATATGTGGATATGAAGAGTGTCATGAAATTCAATGACCTTTTTAGAATAGGTAAAGGTAAAGGTACCCCTGCCCGTACGGGCCAGTCTTGACAGACTCTAGGGTTGTGCACTCATCTCACTATAGAGGCCGGGAGCCTGCGCTGTCCGCAGACACTTCCGGGTCACGTGGCCAGCATGACAAGCTGCATCTGGCGAGCCAGCGCAGCACACGGAATGCCGTTTACCTTCCCGCTAGTAAGCGGTCCCTATTTATCTACTTGCACCCGGGGGTGCTTTCGAACTGCTAGGTTGGCAGGTGCTGGGACCGAGCGACGGGAGCGCACCCCGCAGCGGGGATTCGAACCGCCGACCTTTCGATTGGCAAGTCCTAGGCGCTGAGACTTTTACCCACAGCGCCACCTGCATCCCATCAATAGTCCTATTTAAATCAGTTCCAGGAGATCTGTCAAATCTCCCAAAGTGAAATGGAGAGAGAACACAAATATTATCTTGCTCAATACACTGTTTATTGCCATTTTGTGTTTACATAACCTCCAGAGAATGGGTTTAGATATCAGATTCCTGCCTGTAAGATCAAATGTGGTGGATGTTAAGAAATGAGGTCCAACTATTTCTCATTCCATTGGAGGCCAATCCAGGTGAAGGCAAATCCCAACAGGCAGGCTGGGTTGGCTGTAAATTTATTTATGATGTACTATGTCCCCGCCTCCCTCCAAATCCAGCTACTTACATATGGTCATCTGAAAATTCCTGAGATGGGTGTTTTTCAAAGGTTAAGGTATCTGAAAATATGTAGATCTGAGAAATAATGCCAGCAATGATGAGATCTCCTGACTGATAATATTTGTGAAGAATAGGGACAGGTTCTCTGATGGAACATTGAGAAATATCCAGAAACGTGCACATCCCCTGCACCAACAGTAAGAGCACCAGCAACCGAAACACTACCATCTTGAAAGGGATTCTTCATTTAGGCACAAGTTCACCTCATCTGTTACTGCCATTCCTGATATCCTGAGCAGCAAAGGCTAACTCGAATGGTCACTCACACAGCTGATTCAAAGTCAGACTGATCAATCTCCGTATGTCTATAGACCCAACTTTGTATAGTTCATAGTTATTAATAAGACCTTCCAGTCTTAGTTTCATTGTTTTTCATGTAGGCAGAGGAGGTCCCTAGGGAAGGGGAGAAGATGTAATTCTGAATAATTACAGGAGAGGTAATCACTTGCTTTGAATTACAGATTCTGTGCAATATTTTAAGGCAAACATATTTATCTCAGCCAAAGCCTTTTCTAAGTCCCTTCTTCTTTTCTTGTCTTTCATGTACCACTAGATTTTAGAAAGAAAATAGGAAACAGAAGGACTTTAAATCAATAAAAATGATTAATTATACTCACATGTTTCTGAAACGGTGATGTCTAATCCAAGTCATAACCAGAGAAGGCCCATTAAAATCAAGGGAGTTATGGATTTTCAAATGGGGTGAATGATGTAGTGCGTGGAACCTCCATTGTTCCCAAATGCCATGTAATAGCCCCAAAGATTAACAGAGCATTGGTCAGCTAAATCTGCATTCTTTAATTTTCTTTTGAGACTGTGACAAATTACAACTGATGTGATTTGTCTGCTAACTGGAAATTAGATTGTTAAGAATTTTCATTTTATATTACTTTTAACTCTTGGTCGCTTTCGTGGAAGTGCTGGCTGCAAAATGAAACCAAAATCTGTGGGAAACTGTGGGAAACAACAACAACTTATTTATACCCCACCTATCCTTTCCCACAATGCCCCTGAGATAGTGCTTGATTTTGACATATGCCCTTCCAAGTAAAGGCAAAGGTAAAGGACACCTAGATGGTTAAGTAAAACTTGGCTATGTGGTGCGGCGCTCATCTTGCTTCAGGCCGAGGGAGCCAGTGTTTGTCCACAGACAGCTTTTTGGTTCGTGGCCAGCATGACTAAAGTGCTTCTGGAACAACTGGACGTCGGGATGAGTGATAGGGCTCATGGAAATGCTGTTCTACTTGCGCTGGTATGCTTTTGTACTGCTAGGTTGGCAGGAGCTGGGACTGAGGAACAGGAGCTCACCCATTACACGGATTCAAACTGCTGTCCTTACAATTGGCAAACCCAAGAGAACCGGTGGTTTAGACGACAGCCCCACCCGCTCCCTTGTTCCAAGTACAGCACAGTGGAGATAATGTGACATCTATGAAAATGTGCTTTTGCCTCTGTATTTCCAGTAATTGCTGCCCTAGAAAAAAATTGAAGACTCCACCTACCCACTTACTCCATAATCACTGAAATAAAAGGGGGTTCACTAAAATGAGGAGAGGAAGCTTTGAGTTTGTCCTGGTTTTTAGGCTTGAAGAGATAGTTTAAACACATCCACCCACAGCACAACCACCATTCTAGGTTAATGTGGATGGCTTCTTCAAACATCAAGGCCCAGTGCCTAGTCAGAAGCTGCCCATTTCCTTTCTCTCTCTTCTCTTTCCCTTTCCCATTCCACCACTTAATTCCTTATGCAAAACTCAAAATAATTCAAAATACTCCACCCATCTGACTGGGTTGCCCCAGTCACTTTTGGCGGCTTCCAGCAAAATACAATAATTCATCAAATATTAAAAGCTTCCCTAAACAGGGCTGCCTTCAGGTGTCTTCTAAAAGTCAGATAGTTGTTTATTTCTTTGACATCTGATGGTAGAGCATTCCACAGGGTGAATGTGCTCCTCCCTAAGAAGAGAGACACAAGTCTTCAAGGCAGAGACTGTTAGGGTGGCAAAAATGTTGTTGAACACTCCATTGAGTGTTGGTATCATGCAGCAATTACTGGATGAGCAACAGAAAGAGCTCAGATGTAATGATCTCAGGCAGGCAACAAGCTCCAATAAGAAGTAATTAGACTCTGCAGATTTATGGTATGCTTATTTACAATTAATATTCAGAGAGCGGCAAAAGCCTGCCATTTCTTGGCTACGAGGTGCTCAATCTGAGTCCCCGCCTCACAAGCAACACGGAGCCCGACAATATCCGGTCCTTCCCAGCCTGTCCTTCTGATGACTCTTAACCCTTTCCTCTTGTCTACGTCAAAGAGAAATAGGACAGACTTCATCTGCACTATCTAACGAAGTATACGCTGTTCGCTGCCTTCCCTCTGGTTGCCTAGCAACACGCTCAAGGTAATCTCCTCCTTCATTCCCAGATTGCTCGCTTCCTGTGTCTGTTGCTTTAACAGTGCAACGGGTGTGTGTGTGTGTTCTAAATTCGCCCACTCTGGCTGTGCCTGTGTTCTCTCATTCTCGTAGTCAGACCCTACCCCCCATTTGTCTGCCGACATCAGTGCTGAGATGTATAAAATGGTGAATAAAAATTGATTAAGTCTCCCTTCTCCACCTTAAGATTTTCACAGCGTTAACTCTTAACAAAATTAAACACATCTATTTCACACAATGGAATCATGAAGTGGAAAAGTTACTTTCAATTTATTGGCAACACTTTCACAGAAGAAGAAGAAGAAGAAGAAGAAGAAGAAGAAGAAGAAGAAGAAGAAGAAGAAGAAGAAGAAGAAGAAGAAGAAATATTCTACTGTACACACAAAGAAAAGCACAAATTAAAGCAAAGGACAGGTTTCCTATTTCTTTAATTTTTCTTCCTTATTAGCTGTTCCCTATTGTTCAACTCAGGCCTCAGAATGATTATGTAACATTTGGGGGAAAAGATGCAAACCAGCAACCCAATACTGGAGGCTAAGATGGAGAAGATCTCCACAGCTACCATATATTTCCCCTTGGTGCTCAGGTAGGAGGGAATAAAGGACAGCCAAACACTGCAGAAGACCAACATGCTGAAAGTGATAAACTTGGCTTCGTTGAAACTGTCTGGTAACTTCCTGGCGAGGAAAGCCACAGCAAAACTTACAATTGCCAGGCAACTCATGTAGATGAGGACACAGTAAAACATTGTTACAGACCCTTCATTACATTCTAGTATAATTTCTTCAGTCAATGAGTGCCTGTCCACATCTGGGTATGGGGGAGAGGTTGCCAGCCACACAGTACATATGCCTACTTGGACTATGGAGCAGAAAAGGAGAATGGAGTGGCCTAGTCTTTTCCCCACCCATTTCCTCATCCTGGACTCTGGTTTTGTAGCCATGAAGGCCAAAACCACCGTGAAGGTTTTTGCCAGGACACAAGAAACAGCGGTTGAGAAGATGATGCCAAAAGCTGTTTGTCGGAGGAGGCATGTCACTATCTCAGGTCGGCCAATGAAGAGCAATGCACACAGGAAGCAGAGCAGGAGAGAGATGAGGAGAGTGTAGGTGAGGTTTCGGTTGTTTGCAATGACAATGGGTGTGTCATGGTGTTTTATAAATGTACCTAGTACCAGAACTGTGATCAGGGAAAGGAAAAGAGAGCAGCAGGCTAAACTGATGCCCAAAGGTTCTTCATAAGACAAGAAGCTGATATCCTTGGGTAGACATGCATCTCGGTTCTTGCTTGGATAGTCTTTGTCTGGGCATTTGTTACAATCATTCATATCTGAGGGAAAATAAAGAAATTAGCTCATATCATATCAGCTTGCTGAAATGTTTACTTTCTGTCTGAGAAGAAATGAAGCTCTGTTTAAATCAAAACACATGTTGAATTCTGTCTGTAATAAAAAATTCCTTCTAGTAGCACCTTAAAGACCAACTAAGTTAGTTCTTGGTATGAGCTTTCGTGTGCATGCACACTTCTTCAGATACACTCTGTCTGTAATGTGGTATTGTTGAATTCAATCGGTTCAGAGCTATGTGGTATGTAAGTGGCACAGCCAGGGCTATTGCTGCTCATGAAATTGGAATGCATCATTCCAGTAGCCTTGGTGCAGTGACAAGCCCCCTCTTGATATGAGTTGAACCACATACCACCCAAGTACTCTCAATGCATAGTCATTCTCATTTGATTAGCATATTTAGACTATCTGAAGGGCAGTGATCACAAAAAGGCAGAATCAGACACACAGTAGATCAACACCTCTTTTGAACCTTAAACTCAGCCATCATTACAACAACTTTCAATCCGAAGTACTGAGTCTGGATTTATTGAATCTATTTATTTCTCTTACCATACTGGTTTGCAATCTTCCCCTCTGGACATGGGATGCAATCGTAGCAGCAAGGTGGCTGTCCCTCCTTCACTTTCTTGCTGGATCCTGGAAGACATCTCTCAGTACAGACAGAAAGAGGCTGAGTCTATTCCATAAATGAAACAGTAGAAGGTTCATCAAGAGACTAATGAGTTTGGAATCCTTTATGTTCTCTGTTCTTTCTCTATGTTACTAAACTGACACAGCATATCAGCAATATGTAATGGCTATACAGAGAGCCATTCCTCCTTTCTTGCAAGAAAGACAAAATCCTGGGGGTTATCAATTTGTACATCATATTTCACTCAGTTAAAAACCAGTATTTAATAAGTTTAAAGAAATCCCAATTTCTTTGGTTTATTTTACAATAGTTTTCTTTTCTACTTAGGATTCTGGTTGAAGTCTTCCACTGGAAAATAATAATCCATTTAATCAGTCCAAGTTAACACTTTTCTGCACTGTTTGATGTAAGGTTGCTTCAAGAGCATAATGGTCTTGCAGAAATCCGCTTCATAGCTTCATGGTCTTTCAGCACACAAAGCCTTTAGCACTGGGGAAATGTACTCAGAGACTCTATTTGACTGAAATAAAACCTTCCCTCCTGTATCCAGGCCTTTTCATATGAAAACTAATATTTGACCTGAACCTAATTACCCACATTCAGATGAAGATGTATCTTGTAGTGGGGTATCTGAATGGCTGGGATATTGTTTTGTAATCCCCTTAATAAAAGATTTGCCTTTAATCCATGTGTGACTTCTTCCAGTACGCTTTTGGTTCATAATCTAGTACCTGGATGCTTTGGCCATACACCACTCATCAACTTGCAGCTCAAAAGACAGTGAGTAGACCTGTAGGTGGATAATGATTGCTTATTCAATACTGAATCTCTTTTGAATTAGCAAACAATGCAACCCTACCTGGTTAAACCAACTGTGCCATGTGATGGCATCTTCATCAAGGAGTAATGATTGGTTTGGAGGAGCCTGTGGATCTATCCTCCCAACTCTCACTCTGTGCAAACTTTGGTTGGCGAATATAATCCAATTGACAATATCCAAGCTAGATGCTGCCTCTCCATTCTGGTTGATGAAGACCACATCTCCTGCCGTATTGTTAAATGAGATGCTTCTCAGAAAGTGATGGAGCTAGATTGAAAGCAGAAAAGACAATTGTTTGGAAAAGTTAAATATGTGTGAGTAGCGAGGTTTCTCTCTCTCCTCCTCCTCTTCCCCATCGCTGAACATCTCGGAAGACATGGCAGTGGTGTGCGACCACCTGCTGTAAGGAAGAATTTGGTTGGGATGGTATAGAGGGAATGCTGATCATCTCTCTTAACCGTTACCACAGCTTCCTATATATGAATGCAGCGCCAACTCACTGGGCTGTAATGCTTCCCTCATACAAATGCTTTCTCTTCAAACACAGGACAGCACAGTCAAGCCTTGGAATTCGAATGTAATCCATTCTGGAAGGACTTTCAACTTCCAAAACATTTGATTTCCAAGGCGTTGCTTCATATTGGTTCTTTCAATTCGGGTTTGAAAACCGGAACACTTACTTCCCGGTTTTCGACGTTTCAGAGCTGAAACGTTCGGCAATGGAGATGATCTGAAACCGATCTTTGAATGGAATGGGATATCATTGGTCTGCAAAGCTTCCCTCATACAAATGCTTTCTGCTCAAATATGGGGCAGTACATCAAATATGGGGACGTGGGTGGCGCTGTGGGTAAAACCTCAGTGCCTAGGACGTGCTGGTTGTATTGTCGGTGGTTCGAATCCCCGCAGTGGGGTGAGCTCCTGTCCTTCGGTCCCAGCTCCTGCCCACCTAGCAGTTCAAAAGCACCTCTAAGTGCAAGTAGATAAATAGGGACCGCTTTATAGGGGGAAGGTAAATGGTGTTTCCGTGTGCTGCGCTGGTGCTGGCTCGCCAGAGCAGCTTCGTCACGCTGGCCACGTGACCCGGAAGTGTCTCCGGACAGCGCTGGCTCCTGGCCTCTTAAGTGAGATGGGTGCACAACCCTAGAGTCGGACACGACTGGCCCGTACGGGCAGGGGTACCTTTACCTACCTGCTCAAGGAAGGACACGACCATCATTTCCCTTTCCTATAGGGTCTACTGTCATTTGGAAGCAGCAGAATATGTGGGGAATCATCTAGGATACTATCATATCAGTGCCACCTCCTACTCTGTCTGCAGAATTATAAATTCAGTTCTGGGTTTTCTTCCTAATACACCTGCGCAAATGTTTGAACCCATACTGTGTCAGAAAGTAACAGGGCTTTGCCAGTTGAGGATGTTCAGCCATTACCTGCCAAAACTGTTGATTCAGATTCTTCCCTCTCCCTCTGTACGCCATTCTTCTATGTCTGAATCTGGAAGTGGACATGGCATGTAAAGCATGGGCCATGGCATAGACAGCACTGTGGATGCTGTAGCTGTGGCCTGTCATGCTCATTTCAAAAAGTGATCCGGGAAGGCTCTCCAGCTTCTCTTCTCCGGTGCAAATATTCCCCTCCACCTTGTCTGAAGCGATATCTGGGAATACACATTCAAAGGCCTGTTGCCAGAAGTCCCTGATAAAACCGTCCCCATCTGTGCTGGAAGGGTTTCTGTACACAACATACTGATGAAATCCTGGTGGGTTTCTGAAGTGAATTTCAAAGGATATAGCACCACTGAACACTCCTGAATTCCAGTACCTTTGAAAGACAAATGAAGCGAACTCAACCTGGGCAGTTGTTATCCATACTTTACTTTTTATATTGTTTATCATGTCATCATGTTCTGATAGGTATGGAAGCCATCTAAAAGTTGCCATGGAATAAGATTCTCCATTTGCCACCATAACATTAGCTCTGCTGCTAATAATTTTATGGTTTATAATTGTCCCCTGTTGTAGCATGCCTTTAATTTCAGAAATAAAACTAAAATCAGGGATTCTTTCTAGGAATGCAAAACACACACCACTCTTGGTAAACATTGGGAAAATGGTTTGCACAAATCTTTCTCCGTTTTCATTGTCCATTGCAATGACTCCAATCCACGTCCACCTGAAATGCAGAAGCAAAGAGAGAATTCCCTGATACTGAAGGGCTTCTGAGGGTGCCATCTGGTAGAAGGGAAGCCCTGGGCTTTTATCATTCATCACCGGAGCAGAGCCATAAATGAGCTAAAAAGTAAATGGAGGAAGAGAAGAGGCAAAGTAATATTTGTAGAGTTCTTTCAAACTATTCATATACATTATGTGGTGAATCCTGTTAGTCAGATATGCCCTTTGCCACCCACCAGGTGTTGCCTGCCCTCTCTCATTCATACAAAAATACACACACAGATGGCCTGAAAATTGGGGACATCTCCCATTTCTGTTTGTTAAACATTTCTTTTCTTTTCTTTTTATTTTTTAAAAACTTATGCATACTTTCAAAATTTGGCAGCATCTTGTATGATGGACAAAAATGATTGGAGGGATGCACCATGCCCTAAACAGAGGATTGCCTAAAACTGCATTAGACATTATTTACTGAAGTCATGACAGAATTGCAACTTGGGTCGGATACACATTCCTTCTCTGGAACTTCTTTCGTATTCATGATGCACATACCCCAAGACACAGCAGAACTGCCATTTCTCCCTCTTCTTTTTTTTGAGACTTATCAGACATAATTTATGAACATTTATTTCACTTTGGAACCAGCAGCTCAGCACTATTATTGTTTTCTTGCATAACTGGATTATATCTGCAATTTGTCATACCTTCAGAGTGTGTTTAATTTGAAAGTGCTTTTCCCCTAAACATACACATATTGTGTGTGGAGTCATGGCTGGTGAGGGACAAGCCCACTCTCCCACCAGTGGCCTCTGGGATGTCCTTGATGTGTGTGTAAAAGATTGGGGGTACCACATATTTTTTCTGGTATTGCAGCCTTTCTTTCTTATTCAGGTAATTTTATTTTATTTTAATTCTGTACCACCTTTACTTTCCAAAGAACTGTTTCTGCTCCAATTTCATCCTTGCCCTGAACTGGTGTTGTGAAATCAGCCTCTTTATCTATGCAAGCTAATTTAGGTATTGTACATAGGTGTCCTACCTGTGGAATCTTATAGATATCCAAAACAGTTGCCACATAAAAGGAGATTTCAGAATCAAGTCCCCCAATGACCCCTGCCAGATTATTTTCAACATCACATATATAGTTAGGAACAAATTTCTCCACCCTGGATAAAAGCAGCAGTGTGGCGAGATATGTGCTCCTTGCATTGTTATAGCTGTCATATAAGTGAAAGCCCAAGGTGATATTGGGTAAGATGTGAGGGTCTTCATTGATCTCCTTGACTGCAAACGCCAAGGCAACGATGTGCTGGTAAAGCTTAGGCACCACCCTAGAATGAGAGTTGCAAATGGCAATAGAATTAACAGATATATCTTTTTACATATCAACACTGTAGTTATTCATATTGAATTCAGTGGAGTTAACTCCCTGTCCATTCCACTGCTGAACAGTTCTTACTGTATAATCAGCCAGTTCTTCCTGTTGTTTAGACAGAATCTCCTCTCTTGCCACTTGAATCCATTGGTTTGGGTCCTTCCCTCTGGAGCAAGAGAAAACAAACTTGCCCCATCTTCCTGGTGACAGCCCTTGAGATAATTGAAAATAGCTATCCTACATCTCATCAGTCTTCTATTTTCATAGCTAAACATACCCACCCCCCTCATAATTTTGGCTTCCAGACCCTTGACCATATGTGTCATCCTTCTCTGCACATGTTGCAGCTTGTCAATTTCCTTCTTAAATAGTGCTGGACATAACTGAACACAGTACACCAGGTGTGGTCTGAGCATGGCAGAATAGAGCTGCTCTATTACTTCTTTTGATTGGGGCACTATACCTCTGTTGATGCAGACTCCTTTTCACATGTACTACTGGCATGCCGGGTGTTCCCTGTCTTAGATTTGTGCAGCTGGTAATTCCTGCCTAAGTGCAGGTTCTGCACTATTCTCTTAATGCACAAGAGCTTCCTATGGATTTTTACATCAGCATATATACCACTGAAATCAAAGGTGGTTATCCCAGGGTAAATGGGGATAAGTTTGCAGCCTCAGTCATTATTCTGAGGCTGAAGCTCTTGGTTTGATCATTCCTGTTCTGTAATAAATGAGTGGCTTAGTTCTTACACAAGCTCTTCAGGCAGCGCTGGTGGGGGTTCCTCAGTGAATTTTGCTGGAGAGGAGATGAAGCCACCATGGGAAACAATGCCACCAATGAGGAACTCTCCTGGCTGATGATACATGTGAAGTGGACGTTGTGGACCTTGGAGCATACATTTTGCTATGTGAGCCTGACATACATTGTAAGAAAGCAGTTCCAGCAACAATAACACTAAGACCACCATTTTCAGTATGACGGCAACTGTTTGTTCTATGCAGAAACCATGTTTTCTCTTCTCCAAGATAAAAAATGTCTCATTTAAATGGTAGTTTATTTTCCCAAAATGACACAATCTGGGAGTATACAAAATCTGACTTGTTGATCACAAGTCTGATTAATTCTGATCAGTTTTAGTATACTTTGCATTAGGTTTCCCAGTGGCCACTGGAAGTCCACAGGTTGTTTTTTTTAAAGTTTTTTAGTAGCAACAGCTCAAATTATACCCTGTTAGCCATCAAGCAGCAATGTAGTTATTCATCCAATGCTAAGGATTCCCTCTGGAATTGCTGAAGAAAATGTGTTTGTCACATATTCAGAACTGTTATTTTTATTACCCTTTCATTAGATAATAAAAGAACAGTGGTGTATTGATGAAGTTAGAAGTTAGAAGCACATTATAGAAGACCTTGTAACCAACTGAATTTTCAAAATATGTAATCATCATCTTGGAATTAGGGTCCCTTCCAGCTCTATGAGTCTAGGTTACATGAGCCACTGCTTCCCTTAATAACAGTACTGTGTAAGAGGAAAGTCCAGGGAGAACAGCTACATGGTCTGCTCTATGGGATTTTGGCGAGAGTTTTGTTGGGTTGAGGCAAAATGAATACAAGGGGATTCAGTCCAGCTATTATATGCTACATTAAATACACTTGTTCATGCTTTATTTCTTTCTTATTGTAAGCTGTCCCCTGCTGTTTAACTCTGGCCTTACCAAAATAATATAACATTTGGGGAAGAAGATACAGCCTAGTAACCCAAAACTAGAGGCCATAATAGAAAAGATCTCCACAGCCACCATGTACTTTCCCTTGGTACTCAGGTAGGTAGGAACAAAGGACAGCCACACACTGCAAAAGACCAACATGCTGAAGGTGATGAACTTGGCTTCATTAAAACTGTCTGGTAACTTCCTAGCTAGGAAAGCCACAGTGAAACTGACCATGGCCAGCATTCCCATGAAGCCTAGGACACAGTAGAACATGGTGACTGATCCTTCGTTACATTCCAGTACAATTACTTTAGTCACTGAGTGCTTGTCTAAATCAGGGAGTGGGGGAGCAACTATCAGCCAGGCACCACAAATCATCACTTGAATGAGGAAGCTGAAAAGAACAATGGAGATGGCCAGATTTTCCCCCACCCATCTCCTCATTCTGGAGCCTGGCTTGGTAGCCATGAATGCTAGAACCACTATAGTTGTTTTTGCTAAGAGACTGCTACTGAGAAGATCACTGCAAAAGCAGTTTGTCGAAGGAGGCAGGTTATTCTTATGGGCTGGCCAATGAAAAGTAAAGGACAAAGGAAGGAGAGAACGAGGGCTAGGAGGAGAACATAGGTGAGGGTCCGATTGTTGGCTTTGACTATGGGAGTTTCTTTGTGCTTGATGAAGATCCTAAGCACCAAAGTTGTAGTGAAGGTCAGTAAAAGAGCAAGTGTGACGAAACTGATCCCCAGAGGCTCATTGTAAGTCAGGAAGCTTATTTCTTTTGGAAGACATATATCTTGGCCAATGTTTGGATACTGATCTTCTGAACATTGAAAACAATCATCCATGTCTGAAATCAGATATGAAAAATAAACATAAAAGGCTATCTAAATATGGCTTTCTGTTCCTGAATGAGGGTAGTGAACTTGAAATATCAAAAGTTGATTTTGCAGTAAGAATAATAGGAAATTCTACCACCTGCATAATCTGAGTTCAGTGGCATTAGCAGCCTGCTTTCTCATGTGTTCCAAGCAAATCCAGAAATATAAACAAATCTCAGCCATCCTGCTAGCGCTGAAGATATCAGAGGCCTCTGTGTCTATTGATTTGTGTGTTTGGGGCTGGGGCTTACACCATCTTTTTGTTTCAGCTATTCCAACCCACTAATATTCTTATGCCCTATGAATTTTTCCTATACAGTGGTACCTCGTAATGTCAACGGGATCCGTTCCGGAGCCCCATTCACATCCCAAATAGAACGTGAGATGCGACGGCGCATCTCTGTGTTCATGGGTCGCGTTTCGCCGCTTCCGTGCATGCACGTGACGTAATTTTGAGCGTCTGCGCATGCGCGAGCAGCGAAACCCGGAAGTAACACGATCCATTACCTCCGGGTTGCAGTGGAGTGCAACTAGAATGTGCTCAACCCGAAGCACATTCAACTCAAGGTATGACTGTATTTCGTTCAGCCACCCAAGTTACGTCATGTGAAATATGTGGAAGACAGCCCTGGATCCTTGACCCTTTTATTATTTCTATTTTCCCTCCTATAGTAACTACACAAGACACTCTCTGTTTAAAGTTTAAAGAACAAATAACTTTGACTTAGTATTCTTGCAGTTGCAGATTATTATGTTCAATGCAGGTAGGTGATACTTAAATTGCTAATAGCTTTTACATAGATTAAACTGTTACAGACTGTAACAGTTTCATAGAATCATAGAGTTGGAAGAGACCACAAGGGCCATCGAGTCCAACCCCCTGCCAAGCAGGAAACACCATCAGAGCAATCCTGACATATGGTTGTCAAGCCTCTGCTTAAAGACCTCCAAAGAAGGAGACTCCACCACACTCCTTGGCAGCAAATTCCACTGCCGAACAGCTCTTACTGTCAGGAAGTTCTTCCTAATGTTTAGGTGGAATCTTCTTTCTTGTAGTTTGGATCCATTGCTCCGTGTCCGCTTTTCTGGAGCAGCAGAAAACAACCTTTCTCCCTCCTCTATGTGACAAAGCCTTGTTTTCCACTGGCGTGGGCTCTTCACCCCCCTTCTGCCTCTGGCCATCTGCAGGCATCTGCCTCTGTTTACCTTTGCCCTTCCGGCCTCTGCAAAGGCGATGACCTTGGTTCCCATGAGAAACAGAGCTCTCAGCTGCCGACTCCTTGGCTCCCCCTGGAGGCTGGAATGCTGCCTGGGATGACGTGACGGTCAGCTCCCCCTGCAGCTTGCAACCGGTGCCCTCAGCATCCCTGCATTCACTCGCATTCTGGGAAACAGCCAGTACCTCTGATGCAGTCAAACTCTGGGCTGGGATGACTGGCTGGTGGGCTAACTTCAAAGCATCCCACATCTTATGTGCAGTGACGTGGCCAGCCAACGTTGCAATTTCCTCCAGAGAGACGGACAAGACTATTACATCTATCGCCTTCGAATTCTCGGCTTTCCATCTTTCTGTCAGAGGAATTGGAGGGGCTACAGACACAGTATGCCACTTTCCAAACTGACGCAGCAAACTCTCACACCATTTTGTCCACGTTTTATAATTGTGCCGATTTAGCTTAGGGCACTCATCAGCTTCAGAAGCTTGGAAAAACTCCATTCCAGCTATTCCTTTTAGCCGTGAGTCTATTTCACTTCAGAGACGTCTTATCTCAGCAGCCCATTAATCACGAAGCCTTTGGCGCGGCTCCCAGATCCATTAATCTGCTGGAGTTCAAAGGCTCTTGCCACGGCAAGCAGAAAAGCCGTACTTTCGCTTTTCCTCCACATACCTTTCAACGCAGTCTGTCGCAGTCTTACTCTCCTGTAAGTGCCGTGAATCTGGGCCCATAACCTGTTGTTGGGATACTGCCAGGGAGATAAAGTCCATCATGGCCCCCAAGCCGACTGCCGGGCGATCCATCGATCTCCCGTAGTCACGCAGTATGAGCGATTAGCGACACGGGTTTCCTGAAAATACCTTGCCACATTCCAGGGCTCATGCACACTCTTATCAGCAGATAATTCACAGCCAGAAGTCGCACTCAGGAGAGCATTATTTACAAGCTTTTATTCAGCATTGATCAGAACAAAGAAAGACATGACTGTCTGCATCAATGTCTTTGACAGAGAGAGAACGAAAGCAATAGCAAACATAAACATCCTGTGAACAGGACATGCACAGACTCTGACCCACAAAGCTTGCTCCCTTTTAAGGTGGAACGGAAATATCCTAACAAAGGCTTCTGGGAGCAAAGATAGTTCACTTGTCATCTACTGCTGACACTCCATTAACAGATACAATTATGTGTTGGTTAATGATATGGTGCTCTAAAAAAAAGCTGCTTCACAAAGGGAAGACCAATAAATTTTCAGATGGGGTGAGTGATGTAGAGAAAGGCCCAAACACCACATAATAGCCCCAAAGA